ATATATACAGATATACATATATTAGTATCTTCCTTTTGAGAACAGTAGCAATTAGTCCACCCCGAACATGTAATCACTAGTCATATCCTGTAAGGGGAAAAAAAAAAAAAACGAATATGAGAAGCGTATCAATTATAATCATTGTAAACTGGTTAGTATTCCTGATACAACTGACTTTCTCTTCACTTGTATAAAAACTGCTCTAATTGTGAAAAGAATAATGTAACTATTGTATAACCCAGATTTTACTTTCTAAAAAGTTAGGGAGTGTTTTTCATGCATTCAGCCCTGAGGAAGCAGGAATAAAGCACCTTCTATCAATTGAAGCTATCAAGATATTTAACACAGGAAGTTTACAGGCACCGCTGTGCTTTGTAACTTCAGGGTTGAAGGGAGAGTGCGAGAGGGGTGCACGGACCACCAGCTTTCCCAGTGATCACCAAGGGCTCCACAGGTCCTAAAGAACCAAAAGCCAGTTTTGTATGCGTTCAGTGAAAGGAAGAAAATGAGGACTTTGTAGTAGTGTGGAGGAGGCCAAAGTGGGCAAGAGAGGGAGATGAAAGCTGAGGCAACTGAACCACCTACAAAATATTCATCACAAAGGTTCCAAAGAACACTTTTTTTCCTTGAACTCTTCAGATCAAGCCTATAGGCAAAGATAGAAGGTTTTAACTGGCAAGAGTGCATGTCTAGTTTGTAAAAAATGGGATAATATAAGGGACATTACTTCTTAAAAATCCTCAAAATTTCCTCAAACTTCATTCTGTCCAGAAAATTTAGCCATTGTAACCAGGGTAGGAGGTATTTTCACACCCCACACACATATACACTTGCACACTTAGAATCCAAAGATGCTAAAACTAGCCAGAGAAAAAGAATAGCCATGTGTGCATAGGAAAAATGTGCACAGGTGAAATACATATATTAAAGGAAATATGTTAAATGGAATATATATAGATAGATTCTATCTTTGATGAATGCAATCCAAGAAAGAATCTTCACTACCGCTGAAGAGTTTTCTAATAGCCAGTCCTTCATTAAGTTTCCTCAGATGGAAATAATAATGTATGGTTAATACAGAATTAGGATGGACCAGAATCTACTACCAGACAGTAGAGAGCTGTGAAATTATATAGAGAGATACAAAGCCCTTTCAGAATTTTGGTCCAAAAAGTGCCTATAAAATATTATATATATATATATATATATAAATGATGGAGGCTAAATGCCATCATTTTTACACATTACTTGGGTAATTTCTTCTCATGTGACTGTTCGAATGTCAACTGGCACCTCAGTCATTTACAGAGGACTTTACCTGCATTATCCCATTGGATCCTTGCAATAGCCCTGTGAGGTAGGAGGGAGAGGAACTATTGTTCAGATGAGGAAACTGAAGTTCACAGAACTCTGAACAAGTCAGAGGTAAGGAAGATAGGACCAGAAGCCAAAATGTCTGACTCTTAGTCTAGTGGTCTTTGGAGAAAGTACAGATAGGTTTGTGTGTCACAGTATGTGGAATATTCCCTTTATGATTTAGATTCTGGCAACAGCTTTTTTTTTTTTTTTTAAAGCAATGCCTTTTAGTCCATCTTCTAAGTCCCTAAAACAGCATAGTTTTCTCTCACTGATCTTTGTCATCAGTTCATCTCCTGGATTAAGGTTCTTCCTTCCAGAACGTCTGCTCCTAGATAGGGATCAAAGAAACAGGACCTGGGTTTTGTCCACTTGTCCAGAGAGGGAACTGCTAATACTTGGTAACTCACCTTCCACCAGCACGGTTGTTCTTTATTAACAAGCCCATCACCGTAAATAAGGCACACCTGGCTTGCTTTTACTTACCAATTAATCTGCCTTTAGAACTAGAACTCAAGAGACAGTCTCCCATTTTGTTACAAATTTGTCTTCCCCCAGCTTTCTCCTTTTTATCAGAAGTGATTTCTTACACAAAAATGAAATAGAATACTGCATGAAATTATTATAATGTATCTTTTTCATTCTTTTGTTCATTTCAATAGTGAGTATTTGAGAGGAAGCTAAACCCAGTT